ATGTGGGTGTGGGTAAAGATTTGGGGTTGTGGGAACACGTGGGGATGTGGGGCAGATGGGGGGAAGAAGGGATGTGGGGCAGATGGGGGGCGTGGGGGCAGATGTGGGATGTGGGGCAGATGTGGGATGTGGGGCAGATGTGGGATGTGGGGCAGATATGGAGATATGGGGGTGTGGGTAAACATGTGGGGTCTTGGGAACTGGTGGGGATGTGGGGCAGCAATGGCGCCTTGGGGACACTGCTGTCCCCATGCGGTGGCACTTGGGGACACTGCTGTCACCTGGAGGTGGCACCTTGGGGACACTACTGTCACCTAGAGGTGGCACTTGGGGACACTGCTGTCACCTCTGGCTCCCACAGGACAGCATTGGCGCCTTGGGGACACTGCTGTCACCATGAGGTGGCACTTGGGGACACTGCTGTCACCCATGAGGTGGCACCTTGGGGACAGTGCTGTCACCTCTGGCACCCACAGGACAGCTATGGCACCCTGGGGACACTGCTGTCACCTAGAGGTGGCACCTTGGGGACACTGCTGTCCCCCATGAGGTGGTGCTTGGGGACACTGCTGTCACCTGAAGGTGGCACCTTGGGGACACTACTGTCACCTAGAGGTGGCACTTGTGGACACTGCTGTCACCTCTGGCTCCCACATGACAGCATTGGCGCCTTGGGGACACTGCTGTCACCATGAGGTGGCACTTGGGGACACTGCTGTCCCCCATGAGGTGGTGCTTGGGGACACTGCTGTCACCTCTGGCACCCATGGACAGCAATGGCACCTTGGGGACACTGCTGTCACCCATGAGGTGGCACTTGGGGACACTGCTGTCACCTCTGGCTCCCACATGACAGCATTGGCGCCTTGGGGACACTGCTGTCACCTGGAGGTGGCACTTGGGGACACTGCTGTCACCTAGAGGTGGCACTTGGGGACACTGCTGTCACTTGGAGGTGACACTTGGGGACACTGCTGTCCCCTGTGAGGTGGCACTTGGGGACACTGCTGTCACCTGTGGCACCCACAGGACAGCAATGGCACCCTGGGGACACTGCTGTCACCAGGAGGTGACACTTGGGGACACTGCTGTCCCCAATATCTGCGCAGCGCTGTCACCAAAGCACCATAACCGAACCCTGGGGACACCGCCGTCCCCTTTACCCCCCTCCCCCCTTTATCCCCATGCTGTCCTCACCCGGGTGTCGCGTTGTCCCCAACGTTGTCCCCAAATTGTCCCCAAATTGTCCCCCCCCAGGCGCAGCTGGCCTTCCTGCAGGGCGAACGGAAAGGCCAGGAGAACCTGAAGACGGATTTGGTGCGGCGCATCAAGATGTTGGAGTTCGCCCTGAAGCAGGAGAGGTGCTGGATTTGAGGGGAGGGGAGGGGAGGGGGGGTCCATTTTGGGGGAGGGGACAGCGAGTTGTCACCGAGTTGTCA